TCTTCCTCTGAGAAGGTTGGGTGTTAGTCAGAGTTAAGGAATGCTGCATCTGGGAGCTTCTCTCCTCCTCTTCCTCCTCTTCCTCCTCCTGCTGCTGCTGCTGCTGCTCAGTAATGAATGAAGAGCGTGGTTTGAGTTCTGCTGGTGTCAGGCTGAACCTGACTCGAGGTCAGAACATGAACCTGAATCATCTGGACCGTCATGGATGTCATGTTGATCCAGCTCCTGAATCACGCTCCTCCTCCTCCTTAGCTAACTTAGCCATGTAGCTAAGTCTTAACGTTTTGTTTCAGGGCAAACATTCAACTCCTGTCCCTCCAACTCGTAGCCAATGGGAAGCCGTGCTTTTAGCTTAAGTGTTTGCTATATTTTTACCTTTAGCACCATTTTAGTCCAACTTCAACAAAATGTTGCCGTTCATTTTTTTTTAAGCTAATGCGCTACTAATAGCCTCAACGTTAGCGACGTTAAGTTGTGTTTTTTTTAACTGAGCAGATGGTTTATGTTTTGGTTATCCATATGGAAACTTTAAGTTATTGTATCAAATCCACTCACTGATTTGTCTCTCATGTCAGTGACATAAACCGACCACAAGAGGCAGCAGCAGACCTGCTGCTAACCACAACAATGGATTTTCTCTATGGACTTCTGTTTAGGAGCGTGTGTTACACCCACAGCCACACACAGATTCTGGAACCTTCTCTCACTTCTCCCAGAATCCCAGAGACATTCCAGCTGCTGGACCGTCTTCAGGGAATCCAGAGGGAATAATCCAGGAATCTCCGGGTGTTGGCTTTACAAGCCATTTCTGGCAGAAACATCTGGTTCTCATGGGCAGGAATGAGAGGTCATTCCCAGACTGGGCTCCTCCTCCTCCTCCTCCTCCTCCTCCTCCTCTTCCTCAAAACTATTTTCCTGGTACTAACTCCTCTGCTCTCGTCCTGATTTATTTGTATACAGAGGTCACATGACCCAGTGTGTCCACGGTCTCACCTCTCACTCTTCGTCACCAGGTAGAACTAGTAAAAACACTCCAGTCAAACTAAATATTTTTTTCCCTCAAACCAAGAATTTCAGACAGGAAATTCAGTTTTCCAAGAAGTTATGACAGATGAACAACAAAAAAAAAAATCATACACAACGACTGAATCTGGATGCTTTACTGCAGGGGGCTCAACAAATGGCTCGTGGGCCACATCCGGCCCACAACTCCTTGGCATTTAGGCCGTGACTAGATGTCAATAATCATCAAATTTTGCTTTTAATATTTTTACATTTAGTTTAAATATTTATATTTAGCTTGGACTGTTAAAATATATGGTATTTATGCTGAACAACAACTACATTTTCTGAAATTTCTGGAATTTTCCTTTTTGTTGTTGTTTGACTTATGAACACAGATGTGGCCCAATAATGAACTGATGGACGGACCCTGAGGTCGCATGAGTTTGGGGTCCCTCGTTTGGAATTTTCTTTGGTAAGTATGAGGAGTGCTCTGTAAGAGTTTGGGGCTGCATTCAGCTACATTCATTTGCCTCACCTTATGGGAAATGAGTGAATCTTTCTGTTACTGTTTTGTCACATTTTCAGAACACACACAAAAAAAGAAGAGAAAAGAAAAAGCAAAGGAGCTGATGACCACCTACCGTGACATTTGACCTCAGGATCTCCCCAGAAAAGTTCTCTGCACTCTCGACACGTCCTGCCACCAAACCCAGGTTTGCAGGAACACTGTCCCGTCACCTACAACAGGAAGATAACACACGAGGTTAAACAAATATTCTCATCCATGAAGATTCATGGTCTTCAGGTGAGAATGTGTGTTGGTGTTCCTCAGTGAACACTGTGAGGGCGAGCAGCCAATGAGAACACTGAGAACACTGAGAGAAAGAGTTGTTGATTCAAGCTGGAAGCTGTAGCAGCAGCTGGAGTCCATATATCACAGAGAAACGCGCTCATCGATTGGTCGGTGCGGTCACACAGCTGCCTTCGTATCTGTGAGAACGCATTTTTGTTTGTCTCCACTCTTTCAGGGAACTGATTGTTTTGTTTGTTTTTAGTTGTTTTTTTTGGGTGCTAACTGGGATTATCCTCAGATTTACATCTGATTCATAAAAACGCAGCTGCGTCAACAGCAGGAAACGATGTAAACAAATGGATAAGGTGTTGAGTGGCTGCGACTCTTTGGTGATAGCAGCTACATGTTAGCTGAATAGCAGGCAGAAATAACCTAGAATCTAAATGACATCCCCAAATACTGAAAATAAAGTAGCAACAACTGGTAAAAAAAAAAAAAAAAATTCTAGAAGAATTATAATTAAAAACAAAGCCTCGAAACCACAGAAAGGTTTAGCCATGTTTGCTAGTGAATTGTTTATGTAAATGTTGAAGCTAATTCGCCCAACTCTTACGTATCTGCTAGCTACATGACATTTTATTAGCTAGCTTTAAACTGTTACTGTTGACTTTCAACCATGCATTGAATGACATTGAATTTTTTGTCCACGGCTTAAACGGTTGTCTTCACATATGTAGAAATATAGCTAGCATGTAGCTAGCGGATACGTAAGTGTTAGGGAAAGTAAAAAAAAAACAAAACCAAGTGTTAGCTTAAACTGTTTCCAAAACCTTTCAATAGCCAAAATGGCTAACCCTTTTTGGATGATCTCGATCGTAATGAATGAATTCAGCCAATGAACAGTTCCCACAAAACTTGAAGGTTAGCAACAAAAAAAGTGAAGTAAAATAGTAAAATACTAATGGCTGTTATAAGTGAAAATTTGAAGTTGAATTTAAATGACTGAAGTTCTGTTCTGATGTTTCGGACGCTTCACCAAACGTTAGCATTGACTTTACCCACGATCCTCACCTCGTTACAGGAGGAGCTGAGAGAATGGAGAGGGTCACAGTCGCACTGTTGACACCCAGACCCGCTGCTGATGTTCCAGGTGTTGGCTGAACACCTGTCACACCTCTCACCCTCCACATGGGGCAGACACGGACACTGACCCGTCAGCTGGTCGCACTGGCAGCCGTCAGGAGACGAACAGGCCTGAGGAGCAGTTCCTGCAGTGTCGCACATGCACTCTGAACACACACACACACACACACACACACACACACACACAGTGGGGAGAACAGTTCCAGGGTGTTAACCTCTGACTGTAAATCTGTCAATACTAAATTAAAACTATGTCGGATTTTTTTGGCTTACTTTTAGAAATGTCGCTAATCTTTAGCTATTTTAGGTCAGGGCTCACTGTGTATTTGTCTTCGTAGCTCATTTTGGCTAACATTTAGATATAATTCTGCTAACTGGGGAATTCTTAACCTAATTGGGGTTTTGGCTAACGTTAAAGTGGTTTTTTTTAACTCGAGCTAAGATAACTTTTGGCTTTTTTAAAAATATTTCGCTAAGCTATTATTAGCTCTTAGCTATTTGAGGCTATGTGTAGCTTTTTAATGAATATTACTTTATTTTTCTTGCGTTCACATTTAGCTAGCTGCTTATTTTATTTTGCAATTTTTTTTGCCACCTTTATTTATGTGAATAATTTATGTTAACATTTTGTGGCCAACGTTTCCATTTAGATACAGTCAATGTTTGGTTTACTGTACTCACTCCTGCAGCTCTGCGAGCCTGCGTCGCCGTGGTAACCCACTTTGCAGTGTTGGCAGTTGTAGCCGTCCGTGTGGTGCAGACACCTGAGGCAGGCACCGGTCCGGGAGTCGCAGGAGCCGGGGTCCTGCATGTCGATGTTGTTGTTACACTGACAGGGTGTGCATCTCCCACCAACCACCAGGGGGTTACCGAAGTAACCGGGTGCACATTCATCACATCTGACACCTGGAAGAAGAGAAAGATTTGAAGGTGCTGAGGTGAAAATGATCGTTCTCTTAAGGAACAAAGACGTTGGGAGGTTAATTACAGACGCACTGAGGTGAGTGTGAGGCGACGGCCGGATGAAAGAGTCAGGATTTTGTTACGAAAAACAAACATCTGTTTATGTAAAAACAAATATCTGTTAAAGTGTGCCTTTGTATTCAGACACACACACACACACACACACACACACTGACTGAGTACTGCACTTCAACAGTTAACATCTCATGCTACATTTTATTTATTTTACTTTTCGACATCACTTTAGTTGTCATTATATCAAATCCCATAGAGAAAACCAGTGATTTTAGGTCACAAAGGAATTAGAGGAGTTGATCAACTGTTCCCTCGTTTGGTTTGTTAATGTTACTGAAAAAAGTCTGAATGAAACTAAATATTTAACAGATGATAATAATTTACTATTAACTCTCCTGAACCAAAGTCTATAGAGAAAATAAGTGATTTTAGTTTCAGGGACTTTAAAGAAAGTTCTCAAGTTTTGCTGTGTAATTCTCTTCCGTCTGTGTGTTGAGGAAAATCAGAACATGTGTTTTAACAATATTGTTGAAATATTAAACAAATGTATTTCCAGCTGGAGAAGCCAGAAGTGAATCCACAACTGTTGCAATGTTGCACAGTAAAATCATCGATTTTCTGTATGGACTTTGGTGTAGGTATATTTTAATTTTAAATAAAAAAAAAAGAAAATTACTTTAATATTTTGTTGTCAAGTAATGTTTTTAGCAGAACATTTTTGTTGTACAATTTATCCCCAGGCACCAGCGTCCATAGAAAAATGATTTTACTAGAAAGCAACAAAAGACCTGTGTATTACTGTGTGTAGTATGCAGTACTTTGTATACTACTGCCTCATCTGGGGCGTTTTCATTACTGGGGTGAATCCCAACAATGTATTACAGAGACAGAAAACATAAAATAATCCATATAAACAAACTTGAGCGACAGACGTTAGAATATGGCTGTGGAGTTAAATCACTCATTTTCTCTATGGACTTCTGTATGGGAGAGATGAGCAGAGCTTTGTTTAACAGTCAGAAAAGTCTGACCAACAGCGAGTAAAAAACTGCAAACACATTCCTAGGATCTCGTAGCAGTTAACGGAGACAGTTTTGACCTGAATTTAAACATTTGAAGGATCGATGTTTAGACGAAGACACGTGTGTGTTTACGTACCTTTGTATCCAGGGCTGCACACACACACCATCTGGTTAGTGTATGACAGAAGGTAACAGCTGTCGGCAAACTGACGTCCACTGCGGGGCCCATCGGGGCACATGCAGGGGCGACAGTGGCTCCCGGAGCCCAGCTCTGGGTTGCCATGGTAACCGTCCAAACACCTGAGACACAGCAGAAAAAAAACAGAGAAAGAGTTATTTCTTGGCAACACGGCTCTGGTGTTCTGTAAAGTGACAAAAGTATTAGAGGAACGGTCCTGCTGCTGGTACCGATTATAGCAGATTTCTATCCCATAATGTCATGTGACCTCTGACCTTTAGTTTTCACCAGGGGCTGTCGAACCCCTGGTGCACGGGCCACATACAGCCGGATTAGATGTCAAGTGGGCCGGACAAATACAATTATAATATAATTATAATTATTTTATAAAATTCTATGTCCGGATTGGACCACCTGACGGGCCGATTTTGGCAAGCGAGCCGTATGTTTGACACACCTGAGTTAGAGCTACTAATTCTGCCTCTCAAAAAATTAGAACTCTCTGGTCATTCTTCTCAGACTTTCTTCTCAGAAATGTTTAGTTAGTCTCATACATTTACATCGGATTTAAAAATTCTGATTTCACTTCCAGAACTTGGAAAAAAAATTCTCAACCACCTCCGAGTGATTTTTTTCCGTTTTTCAGCTCGCTAAATCGGACCTGGCGATCCACCTGCAAAAGTTTTAGATTTTAGATTTGAGTGACGTGAGCTGTCAGTTACCTCTCACAGTGATGTCCGGTGGTGAACTCCCTGCAGCTCTGACACTCCCCGGTCAGTGGGTGGCAGTAGTCGCTGTGTCCATTGCAATGACACGGACGGCAGATTGGGAAACCCCAGAATCCTGGCAGGCAGTGGGAACACTGACGACCCGTGGCCCCGGGGACACAGTGACACTGACCAGTTAGCTGGTGACAGAGCGCCCCCACCGACCCCTGGGGGTCACAGGCGCAGGCTGGAATATAAAGAGCGACGGTCATTCGGATACTGGACATAATCTGGATTCTTTTCCGATGATAAACCCAGAGTTCCAGCTCTTACGGATGCAGCCCGCAGGGCCGAACAGGAAGGTGGCCGGAGCGCAGTGGTCACAGTTTCTGCCCATGACGTTGGGTCGACACCGACACTGACCCCCGCTGGGATGACACAGGGCACTGAGGGACCCCTGGGGGTCACACTGGCATGCTGCGGAATTAAACACGGAGAGAGAAGGAAAATGCATCATGTCACTCAAACGCAGCCTGCTAGCTGTTGATGCTAATTTAGCTAATTTTACTCAACTAGATGTTAAGGTACCTGTAACTATGGTTTTGTTATATTTAAGCTACTGTAATGTAAATGTCTCTGTCTATTTTCTATGCCTTCTGTTATAGTTTATGTCCAACCAACATGCTAACTGCTAGCTCCTTCACTTATTGTTCCTGTAACTATTTCTCCATGAAAAGACATAACTGGATTGGCTGAATTTCAAGGACGTTCCACCACTAAAACTTTAAAAGGACGTTGATTTAAAGAGCGTTTGACTAAAACTTTAAAAGGACGTTGATTTAGAGAGTGTTTGCTGCGCCAGGATCTGTGGATCAGTGGATCAGTGGATCAGTGGAACAGGATCATAAAATCAGTCCGAGGGAGTACAAACCCATGGCTCCGTCGTGCAGCAGAGCCGAGACGCTGACGATGTAGTCGTTACAAATATCCGTCATGGGACTCTTTACTACGCTTTGGCTGCTCTCCAGACATCGGTACCGCTGGAAGGTATCCCACGCTCCGTCTCCCTCCCCTCCATGGAACATATCGAGCTCCCTGACCCGAGGAATGAGCACCAGCTGAGGAGAGAGAAGAGGAGAGAGGAGAGAGGAGAGAGGAGAGAAGAGAGGAGAGAGAGGAGAGAGGAGAGAGGAGAGAGGAGAGAGGAGAGGAGAGAGGAGAGAAG